GTGTGTGTGTGTGTGTGTGTGGCCAGCTCAGCCCACCAGAGGGCAGGGCTGGCTGGCATGTGGTGCTGGGGGATTGAACCGTGGTCCCTGTGCTTTGCTTAGAACAAGTAGATGCTTTAGGCCACTGAGCCATCTCTCCAGCCCCTGATCAACTTTCTAGTACTAAAGCAAAAGGAGGAATTTTTCCCTATAAAATACACATCTCATATGGAGGTGAGACTTCACTTGGCAATATGTACTATTAACTTTTAAAATTCTAGAAAAGATGGAAGTATAGTAGCAGAAAGACAATTCCATCAAAAGGGAAAAGGGCTAGGAAGGGTCCTTTGGAGAGATCTCCATACTGGACAGTGGAAGGGACCCAGTCCATTACTTATCTGGGGTAGAGGATATGCTCGTGGTTTTCCAAAGAATCCTGAACAAATAGTGTGCTATTACGCTGTATCATGAACTCAGATCTAGAAAAGTTGGTTTTACTTTTCAGGGAACTGGTATGCAGTCCTGTGACAGTGACTTCAGAGACTGTTCCATAGCTAATAGACAAGAATAAGGCTAAATCGGAACTGAGGCCAACCAAAATTGACCCAGAATGCCAGGAAATAGTAATCAAAATGGTAATTAAAGATTTGAGTAGGTGGAGTATATAGAGATGACTGATCTGAAAATTACCATTATTCTTAAGACAGAATAAAATACAAAATTGTGTGTGTATATTATACACACACAAACACACATATATGTATGTATAGATAAAGGACTGTATTCCTTCCAAATTTTTCTGATCTCTGCTAATTGATGAACAACAAAATCTGACTAGTCTATTGATAATTATAAATTTTTAAAAATTGTACTAGAGATATTATAGTTCAATCTGGTCAAGAATATATTTGAGTGCACTCTAACTTTGTAAGATATGTGTTCTGTTTACTGGTTGATGTGTTTATCATTCTGTGAGTAGCTGTTCCATTTAGTTGAGCTCAATACTTTTTCTTTTTATCAATTGTTCACAATATAAGTTGGATTATGGACTTAAAAGCATACTTTCACCCAAGTTACTAGTGGGGGCCTGACATGGTGTGTGGTGCTAGGGATCAAACCATGGTCCCTATGCTTGCCTAAGCTTGCCCAAGGCAGGCGCTTTAGACTGCTGAACTATCTCACTGGCCCCCACTAATTGGTTTAAATGATATTAAAATAGGCTTCTCACAGCCTATCAAAATTTTTAAGATAAATAGACCACAGTTTCTTAGGGTGAGGAGAATTTTATTGGGTACAACTCTGTTTGGTGAATAGAGGAGTGGCCAACCTTTGTTTACTACAAGGGAGCCTCCAGTGATCTCCAGAGTCTCTTGGTAGATACCCCCAATAATTTGGTCATGATCAAAAGATAAAGTATTCCAGACAAATGAAAGTAAAGTTTCCTCACAAAAGATGCACTTGGCACAAAACTAAGTTAAGAAACAAAGATTTTCACATGTATATTATAATTCATTAGTGTTAATTTCATTGCATTAAATTGGTACATGATTTTGGCTGTACAG